GAAACGTCAGCCTCTCTGCTCCTATGATGCTGCTTGGCCTGCTGTGTTCATCCAGCCCTGCACCTTGTTGTCTCGGATTCTCCAGCATCTGCAGTTCCTACTATCTCTGAAAACTAGTCTAATGGTCGCCATGTAACCACTGTTGATTGTCATAAAAACTCATCTTGTTTGCGAATGCCCTTTAGGGTAAGATATCTCTCATCCTACCTGGTCTGGCTTACATGTGACTTCAAACCTAAAGCAATATTGTTGGCTCTTAACTGTCCATTGGGCAATTCAGGATGGACAATACATGCTGGCATAGCCAGTGACACCCAGATGGTGTGGACAAATATCTAAAAAGAAACCCTGAACATTTATAATGTGACATCTTGCACACAATACCACACAAACAAAGATAAAACAATATAATTACAATCTATGATTGTTTCAGCCTTCCTTTAGTTTCTTACATGAGTTAATATTTTAGCTGAAGAGAAGGTGTTGCAAAGCAGAGGATTCTTTGTAAGCTGTAAGGCTTCTTACAATCAAATTTCTGAGGTTGATTCTCAGCTGAATTCAAAGTTGGAGCAGGCTGGGGAGTTCCCCTCCTTTAAGATAGTCCTAAGATGCTTAGTTGACTTGCAGCAAGCGATGACTTTCTGCTGGAACTCTGGCTTTGCAGAAAAGCTTCTTGTGTTAAAAGCAGGTAACAAAATAATGTCCTCATCAGGTAACTTAGAACACAGAACATAGAACACAGAACAGTACAGCACAGTACAGACCCTTCGGCCCACGATGTTGTGCCGAACTTTTACCCTAATCCTAAGGTCTATCTAACCTCCACCCATACCTTATACTATCATCCATATGCCTATCTAATAGCCGCTTAAATGCCCCTAATGAGGCCGACTCCGCTACCCTCTCCGGCAAGGCATTCCACATCCCTACCACTCTCTGAGTAAAGAACCTACCTCTGACGTCTCCCCTGTATCTACCTCCACTCACGTTAAAACTATGCTCCCCTTTAATAGCTATCTCCACCCTAGGAAAAAGTCTCTGGCTGTCCACTCTATCTACACCTCTGATCATTTTGTACACCTCTATCAAGTCACCTCTCATCCTTTGTCGTTCCAAAGAGAAAAGCCCGAGCTCTCTCAACCTTTCCTCGTAAGACCTTCCCTCCATTCCAGGCAACATCCTGGTAAATCTTCTCTGCACCTTTTCCAACGCCTCCACATCTTTCCTGTAATGAGGCGACCAGAACTGGACACAATACTCCAGATGTGGCCGAACCAGGCTTTTGTATAGCTGGAGCATAACTTCACGGCTCTTGAACTCGATCCCTCTATTAATGAAAGCTAACATACCATACGCCTTCTTAACAACTCTATCCAACTAGGTGGCAGCTTTCAGGGAACTGTGAACATGAACCCCAAGATCCCTCTGCTCCTCCACACTGCCAAGAATCTTTCCGTTAACCCTGTATTCTGCTTTCAAGTTTATCCTTCCAAAATGAATCACCTCACACTTTTCAGGGTTAAACTCCATCTACCACTTCTCAGCCCAGCTCTGCATCCTATCAATGTCCCTTTGTAACCTAGAACAGCCCTCCGCACTGTCCACAACGCGACCCACCTTCGTATCGTCCGCGAACTTGCTAATCCACCCTTCCACTCCTTCATCCAAATCATTTACAAACCTTGCCCAATTTCCAAGCCCTTTTTACAGAAAAAGTGAAATGTTGATTATGCATCCTGTGCAGTCACCTGACACCTTGAGATGCACGCTTAGTTTAGATGAGGGAACCAACTGCTGGAAGATTGATCAGATTCATTCACATTCAGCCCAGCCGCAAAGAGTTTTGATGTCGTATCTCCTCGGTGAAACAGGAAGACAATCTGGTTGGAATGCTGTAGGTCTCTTGCTGATGATCTATCCTTAAACAAAGGGATGTGTGAATTCCTGCTTAATTGTGAATGTCCATACTTAGTTAGCTAATTCTTTTATACTTTGCACTTTGAGTTCCATATAGTCCTAAGGTCATGTGGTTTGCGATAGCTATTTTAACAGTGTGATCAAAATTTTAAGGTAGTAGCTTAAAGTTTAAAATGTACATGACATGTACATTCGGAACATGATGTCAACTGTGGCACATTGGGATATCAGCTCAGCCTACATGTGGTATCTTTCGTGGTCATGTCCACCAAAACCAACTGTGTTGCCTTGGCTATATTCGCTGTCATCAGTTCTTCTTATTGGTATCAGTCTAAGTTACTAACAGCAAGTGGGAAAGGATGCTATCTCAGATTTAGTAGAACTGAGGCTCAGTTTTTGATAAATAGACATTTATTACATAGTACTTAAGAGTTAGTTATATTGTATTTTATTATTTATTATTTTATCAGTATTATATTACTGAATTATGAGAGTCCTAACTAAACTCAGGATATACTTAAAAGTACATAAAACGTATTTCATGATATCATCATCATAGAATCCCTACAGTGTGGAAACAGGCCTTTTGGCCCAAAAAGTCCACACCAACCCTCAGAGCATCCCACCCAGACCCATCCCCCGATAACCCACCTAACCTACACATCCCTGAACACTATGGGCAATTTCGCATGGCCAATCCACCTAACCTGCACATCTCTGGACTGTGGGTGGAAACCAGAGCACCCGGAGGAAACCCATGCAGACGTGGGGAGAATGTGCAATCTCCGCACAGATACTCACCCGAAGGTGGAATCGAACCCGGGTCCCTGGCGCAATGAGGTAGCAGTGTTAGCAACAGTGCCGCCCTTAAGTTAACTAAAATATCAGTTAACCTTTCAGGTGCTTGGACCTGTGGAACCTTGTCAAAGGCTTTACTCATGGTAGACTAATTGGTAAAATTAGACCACATGGGATTCAAGGTGAGCTTGTCAATTGGATTCAAAATTGGCTTAACATTAGGAGACATAGTGATAGTGGAGGGTTGTTTTTGGACTGGAGACCTATGATCCATGGTGTTCCACGTGGATTGGTGCTGGGTCCATTTTTGTTTGTCATTTATATAAACAATTTAAATGAGATTATGGTTAGTAAGTTTGCGGATGACACCAAGATTGGTGGTATAATGGACAGTGAAGAAGGTTATCTAAGGTTACAAAGAGATCTTGATCAATTCAGTCAGTGGGCTGAAGAGTGGCAGATGAAGTTTAATTTGGATAAATGTGAGATATTGCATTTTGGTAAAACAAACAAGGGCAGGACGTTTATAATTAAAAGCAGGGCCTTGTGTAGAGTTGTAAAACAGAGAGACCTAGGGGTTCAGGTCCATAATTCTTTGTAGTTTGCATCACATATGGGTAGGGTAATTAAGAAGGCGTGTAGCACACTTGCCTTCACTGCTCAGAGTATAGGAGTTGGGACTTAATGTTGAGATTGTATGGGACGTTAGTGAGGCTTCTTCTAGAGTACTGTGTCCAGTTTTGATCACCCTGTTATATGAAGGACATTATTAACTTGAAGAAGGTTCAGAAGAGAATTATCAGGATGTTGCTGGGAATGGAGGGTTTGAATTATGGGAGAGGCTAGATAGGCTGGGATGTTTTTCACTGGAGCATAGGAGGTTGAGGGGTGACCCTAAAGAAGCTTATAAAATCATGAGGGTACAGATAATGTGAATGGCAGGTGTCTTTTCTCTAGGGTGGGGCAGTTCAAGACGATGAGGCATATTTTTAAGGTGAGAGGACAAAGTTTTAAAAAAGACATGGGGGGCAATTTTTTTTTTAAACAGTGTGTGGTTCGTGTATGGAATGGATGCAGGTACAGTTACAACATTTAGAAAACACATAGATAAGTATATGAATAAGAAATGTTTGGAGAGATATGGGCCAAGTGCAGGCAACGGGACTAGTTTAGTTTGGGATTAGGGTTGACATAGACTGGTTGGACCAAAGGGTCTGTTTCCGTGCTGTATGACTCTATAACTGTGTACAATACAGGTAACACTCTGGCTTCTGAGTTAGAGGGTGTGGGTTTGAGTTCTGCTCCAGAGACCAGCATACATGAATCAGGCTGATGCTTCAGCACAACGCTGCTATATTTGTGGATAAGCTGTTAAACTGAGGCCCAGACTGCCATTTTAAATAAAGTAGGAGAGTTGCCCCAGTGTCCTGGCCACCAAAACATGTTTGGTCATTATCTCATTGTCATTTGTGAGATATCCCTGTGCACAAATTGACTTGCATATTTCCCAAATTAAAACAGTAAATACATTTTGACACCATTTCATTGCTTGTCAAAAGTTTTAGAGTATCCTGAAGTAGTAAAAATTACTATGTAAATACTAATAAACCACAGCAAATCAACATGGCTCCTGCAACAGCATCTCTTAAACCCAAAGATTTCTACCATCTAGAAAGATGAGAGTGAATGCATAGGAATACCACCAAGTAGAAGTTCCCATCCAACTCAAAACCCACCATCTTGATTTGGAAATGTATCTCTGTTTCCTCACTATCCTGGGTCAAAATCCCAGAGCTACCTTCCTAACAGAAGTGTGGATGTTCCTTCATCACATAGGCTGTAGTGATGCAAGACTGTTGCTCACCATCACCCCCAGACAATTAAAGATGGGTAATGAGTGCTGGTCCAGGCCATGAGATCCATATCCCATGACCGAATAATAAAAAGTGTTATTTTAATGTAGGTTCTGTATTTTTCTGGAGTAACTGAACTGTAAGAGATGATGGCAATCTCCCACCTATTGGAACCTGATCCTTACTAACATCTTGAATGTTGACTGCACTGAGTTGTCAGCCACATGGATGGTTACACCAGCCTGCTGAAACAGAATGGAGAAATCTGCTCAGCCGACTTCAGAGGATTTTCTAAGACAACCTCCATAATGCAGAAAGAATATCTGTCTTATTGAATACCTTAGTGTTTTGGTTCCAGACCGCAGTAACCCTTATCCAAACTTTTCTGTGTGGAGGATCACTGCAAAGATCGGCTTCCTGTCTTAACTTAGGAAAAAGCATAGGCCACCTAAAAGAAAACACTCTCATTTCATCAATATCTGGCAGAGATGTAATGTGCTAATCAGACATAAGCAAATAAAGCAAAACAGAAACCATGTAATCTTAGACACCCCAGTTTGGAAAGGGGAGGTCAGCATATTATGTGACTCTATCACTCTCTTCCACTGTCACTTTCCAGTAATATTGTTTGTATTTTACATTCCTTTTACTTCTTCCATCTCCATTCTGGGGTAAACTCATGGTTAAGTTAAATTCTCAACTCCATTCCTGGCATGTTTATGTTGTAGATATGTTACTGAATGTTGTGTTTTTACTTCAGTCTCTACAAAAGCACTTCAAGCTCCTAAGAAGTGTCAGACTGGCTTGATAAGATCAGATCAGTGTTCTTACCTTCTTTCATCTAGATTTGCTACACTATAGTGCCACATTCTGTTCTGCTCTGTGGCTCTCACATACTTTGTCTACACTGCAGTCTGACAGCAAATAACAGCAACTACACTCAAACAGAAGGTGTTTTCAAAGAAGTGAGTTTTTTGAGGTTCTCTTGGCCACCGGTCAGAGAATAGAGGATTTCTGAAGAAGGGTCTAGGCCCGAAACGTCAGTTTTCCTGCTCCTCTGACGCTGCTTGGCCTGCTGTGTTCATCCAGCTCTACACCTTGTTATCTCAGATTCTCCAGCATCTGCAGTTCCTACTATCTCTGACAGAATAGAGGAGCTGTGTTTGCTATCGCTTGGCCTGAGATGAAGGACAAAGCCATTTCTCATAGGCATTGGAATGCATTGGTTAAACCCATTAATATTCATTACAACAAGTATGAGAGCAGCAAAGTCCCTCCTGCAGACCAATACGAGTAACTGATTCCCTGCTGTATTCAGAGTATAAGGGAGTGGATTGGAATTAATTGCTTTAATAAATATTTTTTACAGAAATTATTTGCCTAAACTTCCTTGTGTGCTATATATGGTTAGTACCCCATTGCTCAAATACGGTTTAGCTAGTCGAAAAGACTATGCTCTGTGTTAGATCTGAAACTGATTTATCAGAAGCTGAGTATATGTTGACACAGGAGCAGGAGGAAGCCCTTCAGCCCTTTGAATTTATACTCCAACTCAATTAGATCATGGCTGATCTAAATCTTAAATCTATTAACCCACCAATACTTCATTTCCCTTGATATTTTACCAACAAAGTTAAACAATCTCAGGCTTTCATTTGACCCCAAGCATTAACAGCCATTTGACAAAGTCAGTTCCAAATTTCCACTGCCCTTTGTTCTGGTCACCCTGCTATAGGAAGGATATTGTTTAATTTGAAAGGGTGCAGAAAAGATTTACAAGGAAGTTGCCAGGTCTGGAGGGTTTGAGGTATCGGGAGAGGCTGAATAGGCTGGGGCATTTTTCCTGGAGTATCAGAAGCTAAGGGGTGACCTTACAGAGGTTTATAAAATCATGAGGGGCATGGATAGGCCAAATAGCCAAAATCTTTTTCCTAGGGTGGGAGAGTCCAAAACTAGAGGGCATAGGTTTATGGTGAGAGGGGAATGATTTAAAAAGGACCTGAGGGGTAACTTTTTCACCCAGAGGGTTGTGCGTGTATGGAATGAGCTGCCAGAGGAAGTGGTGGAGGGAGGTAAAATTACAACTTCTAAAAGGCATCTGGAAGGGCACATGAATAAAAAGGCTTTAGAGGGATATGGGCCAAATGCTGGCAAATGGGACCAGGTCAGATGGGGATGTTTGGTCTGCATGGACAAGTTAGACCAAAGGGTCTGTTTCTGTGCTGTATGATTCTATAAGTTAGAAATCGTTGTCTCCCTCTTGAGATTGAGGTCAACATTACATGAGCATTTTTTAATTTATCATACCTGTGCATTGCCTTTTAGTGACTTTTGTGGGTGGT